TCCTCTTTTGTGTTCCTTTTTAACTCTAAAAATGTTCACAGAGCTTTCTCATTTGCATTAACTAAGAAGTTAGCTCACATTCATTTTTGACCTGCCTCTTATCACTCTCAAGAAAGCATTATCATGCTTGATCTGATACTGGGCAGGATTCCAGAAATAAATGACTGCCACAGAGGGGCTATGTACTTGACTTGCTGACTCAGCTGCAAGGTCAAAACTTGGAGCTCTTCATTTACACAGTGCTCCTTTTGCATTATCACATAGCTCCTTTATCAGGCCTGGCATATTTGCAAAATACAATTTCTACAAAGGATCATTATTGTGATTCATTGTTAGATACATAGAATTTCTTGTAGATGAGTTGCTTTGCAAGCCTTTTAATGCTGGTTGCCCTCTCCCCCAGTCTAATCTGGGGAGCTTGCTGGTAGTGGTAGCTATATCTTTTGTTTGCTTGTTTGTTTTTAATGGAGCTGAAGTAAAGGCAGTTTAAGAGCATGGCCAAAGGGCATTTACAAGGCCTAGCTTCTCTGGGAAAGGTGAAAGCTCAGAGAAGGACGTGCTGCTCATGCTTCTGAACTCCTGGGGCTTGGGTTTGTGCTCAGGCTGTGTTGTTAGCTCATGTGTTGTTAGCTCATGTGCTTCCCCCATGATTTGGCTTGGCTGCTTTCCCAGCAGGCCAGGTTAGCATCTGATACAGGTGACTTTAGGGCCTCTATTAGCTTTCTCAGATTTTCTGCACAAAGTACCATGAACGGGTGGCTTCAAACAACTGATATTTATTCTCTCAGATTTCTGAAGGCTAGAAGTCACAAGTCAAGGTGGCAGCAGGGCCATGCTCCCTATGAGACACTCATTTCTGCTCTTGTCCACATCTGGTGGTGGTGTGGATCCTTGGAGTTCCTTGGCTTTCAGCTGCACCTCTCTGATCTCTGCCTTTTCATCACATGGCATCCTCCTCGTGTGTCTGTGTCTTACAAGGATACCAGTCACAGTGGATTTAGAATATACCCTGCTCCAGTATGATCTCATTGCACCTTAACTAATTGCAGACTCATTTACAGATAAGTCACTTGTGATGCAATGTAGATTGGAACTTTGGGGGATATAACTCAACCCATCATAGGGGCTCTGTAGTGAAAATTCAGTGAAATTAACAGTAGTCAGCTACTTTTAAATAATATGGAAGTAGGGAGCAGAGGACAGAGGTGGGCAGAATGGCAGGTGCCCCGCCAATTTATATTTTGTCTTCAGATGATGTTTCACATCACACACTACTGTTTGCAGGGCAAGTAGAAGCCAAGGAGCAACTTTGAGTTATTAATTTTGAGGCTTGTGATGGTTTATGTTTTTGGAAACTTCATATTTGGGGAAATTCTAGAATGAAGAGGGAAATGTAATTGAGACTCACTCCAAATATGTATGAAAATATACTTTATCCATGTGGAATACACTGTGCCCATAGTGTGGCAGGATTGGTAGGTTGGCTAAAGGCCCCCTTAAAGGTATCCACATCCTCATACCAGAGTTCCCACATCGCTATATATGTCAGAGACTTTGCAGATGTGAGTACAGTAGGGACCTGGAGGTGAAGAAATTATTCTGGATTATCTGGGTAGACCCTGAATGCCATCACAAGTGTCCTTATAAGAAGGAGAGAAAGGGAGCTCATAGACAAATGAGGTCGTGTGAGGGAAGCAGAGGCCCAGAGAGAAAGTGCTATATATGTTGCTGTGAAGCTAGAAGAAGGGGCCATGAGCCCCCTGGAAAAGAGAATGAAACATATCCTCCCCTAAAGTCTCTGGAGAGAGCACATTGTGAATGACACCTTGATTTTGGCTCCATAAGACTCATTTCAGAATTCTGATCTCCAGAATTCTAAGAGAATAAAATTCTGTTGTTATAAGTCACCAGATATGTGGTGGCTTTGTTCGAGAAGCCATAGGAAACTTAGACACAGAATTTGAGTCCTTGCATTTCCAGTTAAAAGTATGACTCTTGCTCTACCCAGACACACAAAACCTCAAGACTTGAATAAAATACAGTAAAATGTTAATGGTGACTAATGCAGGCCATAGATTATGAGTGTTTTTGGGACATTACTATGATTCCCAAAATTTTTCCAAGATTTCGCTAAGAAATCTAACATTCTTGATTCTTCTTCTTCTTTTTTTAAATGAATGGGATATTACTCAATTCTAAAGCACAAAGAAATTCTGATACATGCACTAAAATGGATGAGCCCTTAGGATATTATTATGCTAAGTGAATAATAAGCCAGTCACAAAAAGACAAATCCTGTAGGCTATGAGGTATCCAGAGTAATCAAGAATTTCTAGAGACAGGAAATAGAATGGTGGCTGCCAGGGACATGGGTAAGGGAGGATATGAGTGGTTAACAGGTATAAGTTTCAGCATATGATATGACTTTGATTATATGCAGTTGTATTTTTTTCTGCCCCTCTTAAATCCCTTTATAGCAGATGGGACCACTTCTCCATGTGAGTTTTAGACTCCTTTCCTGTCATCTTTTCTCTATAAATTCTACTGTGTTTGCTTTTGTCTTTACTCTTTCACTCTTTGCTTTGTTTTTGTCCTCTGCTTAGCTACATATTCAAATCTTTCAGGGCTTTGTTAGATCTCAGTGTTAATCAGTTCCTCTGTTTCGAAAAGATTCTTTCTTTGGCCTCTTCAGTATCATTTGTCTATTGCACATATACACTTTCCTAATAGATACACACACCTTGAAGCACTCCCCTTGTCTTTGCAACATTCATGTTAGGAGCGTGCAAGCCAGAATGCCAATCCCTTTCTCTCTCCCACCCCCACATATAATCAACTCATCACTACTGACTAATTTTACCCCCTTGGTATTTGCTAGTCCTATCCCATCTCTGGTTTCAGGTCCTTAGCTTGTCTTGTCTGGATATTACAATAGTTTCATGCTCCATCTTCCCCACTTCAAGCAGAGCTATCCTTCAATATGTGAACCTAGCCATGACACTTTCTGCCTTAAAGCCCTGCAGTGAAGGCACACACCCTTCAGCATGGCACCCGACACAGTCCCGTGACATGCTTCCTTCCTAGCCATCCAGATTCTTCTTCCAACCTGTCGACAGATCCAGTAACCATTCATGACCAACCACCTTCATACCTTGCTCTAGCTCCCCATTAATTTGGGGCCTCCTGCCTCTTTATTTTCTCTGGCTGGCATACCCTTCTCCCACACCTCACTAGACTAGTACACAGCCACTTTCCTGCATTCAGCTTAGGCATCGTCTTTTCTAAGAGGCTTCCCCAGTTCTCAGTGTTCCCACAGTACCCTGGAAACTGGTGTTGACTTAACAAGTTATATACAAATGATTTATTTATGTGCCTGTCTTGCCACTGGCCTTTAAACTCTTTAAGGGCTGGGATTATTTCTTAAGTCCTTGTGGTGTTCCCAGCACTTTTCATAGTGCCCAGCCTATAGTAGGAATTCAACCAGTGTTGATTAATTAAAATAATTAGTCATAAACACCTTTGCTGGTAGATTATATCCATAATCCACAAAACATTTAAAGCCCTTCCCCCTGACCACCATTGTTTTGATGACAGAGAGAAATGAATGAAATTTTGATGAAGAGAAATAAGAACCCTGGAGATGATATATTTATTTATTTTTTTCAATTTAAAATTTGACCTATTTATTTTAGTGGGGCCTATCTGGGGGGAATCTTTAAACTTTTTTATTTTTGAATTTTTTTTTTAATTGAAGTAACATTGCAGTACAACATCATGTAAGTTTCAGGGGTGCATCATTATAAATCAATATCGACATATACTACTTTAAATCCACCAGCAAAAATCTAATTTTATTCTTCATCCTGTTATAGAGCAGCCCCGATATTAAACGGGTTCCTGGCTGTGGGTCCTCACCCGCGCGCTTTAAAGGGACTTATGAATACTCTACTACAGACACACACAAAAGGGTTAATAAAAGGTTTATTTACAAGAGAAAAAGAAATAAGGAAAATGTACAACTCAGGGAGAAAATAGGGAAATAAAGTCTTTAATGCGTCCTACCCGATCCGACGACCTGGAAACCCAAAGTCACTCTCAGAGCTGACCGGACGCTGCAAGCTGGCCGAGAGCCCAAAATGGAGAGAGCCCCCAAAGCCCACGTGTCTGCCTTTTGTATCCACCTGGCTGCTTAACCCCACCCTCAGGTCCCAGCCACCTTCCCTTTGGTGGTGATGGGATTTGGAGTTCCCAGTGTCTTTGGCTTTGACCTGGGGTGGGGGTGGAGTCCACAAAGCCTATATGGAATTTGCTTTGGGATATCCTTTTCCCCCTAACAATCCTACATTACAGTTGACCCCTTCTACCCTATCTACCCACTCCTAGGGGTCGGAATGGGGGATCTTTAGACTTCTACCTTCCTAATAGGCAAGACTGAAATCAAGTAGCCCCACAAACACGGGTAGGTCCTACACTCTACACTTCTGTTTGGTACTGAACATTGACTAGATTTGACCTATAATAGGTAGGCGTGTCAGTGACATTACTTTGCTATCTGATCAATGTTTTTGCATCAAAGGCTTTCTGCACCATGCAGTGGAAGTCCTTTGATAAGGAGCCAACAAGGAAAACCTGGCTAAACATGTGCCAACGAGTGGACTTCTCAATTTAGCCAGGCTGTGTGCCCTCCCGTGGGTCTCGAGGGCCCAGGAATAGCCTCAGGGTCCAGCAGAAGCTGGAGGCTTCCCAGGCGAGGCCACCTGCGCCCAGGATACCATCTTGTCTCCCGCCACCACCCCGCGGCCCTCGCCCCAGAGGTCGCCGCTGCTGGACAGCGCAGCCGGGGTCACAGGCCGCCTCGCTGTCCACCGCCCCCGGACCTGGGCCCGCCTGGGCCTCCGGGCAGAGGCCGGTCGGATCACGCGCGCCCGGGCGGCCCAGCCCCGGCCCAGCCAATGGGCTGGCGGCGCCCGCATGACCCGCGCCGGCGGGAGGGCGTGGGGAGGCAGGCCGGGCGCGCACGCTGCCGGGCTGTATCGCCGCCCCAGCCGCCGCCGGGACGGGAAGTGAGCCGCGCGGGCCCGCAGAGCGAGCGAGTTGCAGCGGCCCCGCAGCCGCCCGCACCCGGGGCGAAGCATGGCGGCCGCCAAGGTAAGTGCCCGCCGCCCCGGGCAGCGCCCCGGCGGGACCCGGCCCTCGGCTGGAGACTCGGCTCTCACGTGCCCGGCCGGGGCACCCGGGAGCCAGCAGCACAGGGGGCGGGCGGGCAGCAGATCCACCTTGCAGCCGCGGGAGGGAGGCGACCTGCTCTCCCGGGAGGTACTTGCGGCCCCTGCGGGGACCGAGGCCAGACCTTGTAGCAGAAACTTTGCCGGCTGGATCCTCCCACTTGGCCCGGGAAGGAGCCGGTGCCGCCACGGCACCCGGGGACCGAGCCAAGGCCGGCGAGGAGGAGCTGGCGGGACTGGGGCCCAGCGCGCCGGGCGGAGGAGGGCTCGGGGTGGGCCGGCCCTTGCAGCCACCCCAACGCACTTTTTGCTCTTGACCCGGGTTGTTTACTCGGCCTGCTTCTAGGGAACACAGCCCTGGCTGAAGCCTGAGCCTATTAGGTTTCAAAGACTCCGCCCTCCCGCGGGTGGGGAAGTCACCTTGACTTCCGTTTTGGAAAGGCTAGGGAGAGTTAGCCCGCCTGAGTGCTTGCAAACTACAGAGGAACCCCACCTTCTGTCCCTCCCCCTCATCCTCCTTCCCCATCTCCCCATCTGACAACACTTACATACCGGCCTCTGAGCGTTTGAGAGGCTTCGTTTTTAGAAATGACAAAATAGATTGTCCTGGGAGCCTGTAACTCCTGTGAAGTTCTACTTAAAAGGAATTCTGTGTAATGTGACTCATTCACTAACCCAGAGGAAAGGCAGCTCTGACAACCTGACCTTTCCTCTTTCACCGATTCTGGAAACCTGGACACCATTTCAGCCTCTTTGGACTCCACTTCAACTTTTCTGGCAGAATACATACATTCAAGTCCCAATCACTTGAATCACTGGAATTTATTGCTTTTAATTTTAAGTTCACGAAGGCAACCCTTTAATCAAGCCTATACAACTTCTTAGCTCATTTTAAGTGCAGTGAACTTAAATATACCCAACATTTCAGACATTTGTCCTTAATCAAAACTCTGTGATAACCCTCAAGAGGAAAACATGGCCAACACATCATATTCCTATTTATTCACGCAAACTAATCACATTTGCAATGGAAATTGTAAGCAGACAAATATATTTAAATGCTGTTCTATGACTTAAGTTCTCCAGCTCCCCAAATCCGCAAGCTTCTTAATGTTCTAAGACTATGTGGCCTAAGTAGCCTTTCTTTTCTGTAATTACTCTTGAGTTCCATGTCAAGAGTGTGCTCTGGCATGTGTGTGTGTGTGTGTGTGTGTGTGTGTGTGTGTGTGTGAGAGAGAGAGAGAGAACATGTAGGTAGATTCTGTTGATACATTAACCCTTTCAAACCCTATCACCCTTGACCTTTTCTTCATGTTAAATTTGCATATTGAGGAAGTATAAGCTTTGTTATGAATTCATTCCCTCTAGGTGACTTCTTCCAAGAGAGTGGGTGGGAGCTGATACCCATACTTGACTGTCATTTTCATATCTGCTGGAGAATTAAATAATTTTACTTAATTTGGAGATAAAGTAATTGTGGAACTTAAATTGATGAATATGCATATAATTGGAGTATAAGATAATACTGATTAACTAGTGTGAAGTAAAATAAGTGACATGGAAGCAGATTTAGTTTTTTGGTTGTATTTTTATTAAAGTGTCACATATCAATTAGGACAGTTTAATTTTCGCCAAGTAGTGAGAGTCAGAGAAAATGAAACATTTCATTTTTACTCTTTGGGAACTCATGTTTTGGTTTATTCATTTAAACTCATGTCTTTTCAGGCAAGTATGTATATCACCTGATCCATCAGAAATCCTGAAGAGATATATACAGTACCACAGGACATAGCAAAAATCAAGTCAGAGTAGATGAGAAAAACAGGATAAAGGAAAAGTAAGATTATGAAGGCAGGACTAAAGTTAGCAGGAAATAAGGATGTACTTGCTAGAGGTGACTGCATTATCTAGGAACCAAAGTGGAGAGATGACCAAGGGTGTCATTTACTTGGGGAGAAATCTCCTTGTACTGCTGAGGACAGTTTCTCCATGTCCTTTGAGATGTGAGCAAACTGCCATCATAACACCATTTCTTAATGTCCCTTGTTATAGGTCAAGGGCAGTGCAGTAAGTGTAGTCTTAAGATTTTTAAATGAGGGCCTCCCTGGTGGCGCAAGAGGTTGAGACACAACCTATGAAGCTGTCTACAGCCACTGCAGCATGAGTTCGATCCCCAGCCAGGGAACTACCCACATGGCACAGCAGACCTCTCCTGACTTGCCTGCTGCTCCCCTTAGCAGTGTATTTCAGTCAATCTGCCTGTTCTGTTCCCCACTCTGTCTCTGGTGAATCCTGTCAACCCTTCCCCACTCCACACACACCTCTGGCCTGTACCCCAGCTCTTATATGCATAAATAAATAAATCTTTTAAAAATTTTTTTAAATGAGCTGTACCTTAGTCTAAAGATGCCCCTTGTTTAGTTGTTTTCCTCAGCTACTAGTTAGGGCTAAGCAATCCAGTTAAAAGCCATGTTTGCTTTTTTCCTGGATCATAGCTATTCCATACTGCTGTGTTGAACATGGAGCCATAGCTTAAAGATTTCATCTGGCGGTAGGATTGCTATCCGTTTTTAAAACTTGAGGAGTCTTACTAGAAAAGAAGCCCACCCAAAGGACCATCTAAGAAACTGGGCCAAGAATCTGGGGCTCACAACTGTAGGTGAACTCCAGCATCACTGTGCTGAATTGTGTGAGTATTTAAACAGTCTTGGTATTTTCTGGATCAACTTAGCTACATCTAGCAGTTTCTTGATCACTTGAACCTTTTATTCTTAGTTTCTTTGGTCTTTGAATGAAATTAGCCTAGAACTAAAAGAAAGAAATTTGGGGACAAATTAAAGCATTCATATAAGAAAATTTGGTTTGTTGGACAAGTACACTTCGTATTCTTGGATGAACTGTTGCTATAATTATCGACTGACTTCACTGCATGTCGAATTCTTTGTAATATTCCAAATGGGACCAAACTGAGGATGCAAAATTGAATTGGGCTTCATTGTGGCTTCCAGGAAATCCAGAACCATATCGTGGGTTCGTTCCTAAAGAGTCCCCTCATTAGGACTAGTGTCATAATATAAGGGTCATAATAAGTGTCATAATAATTCAGGTAAAGTATCTATTTCTGTGGATGTGAGAGAAGGAAATTCCTTAAAGGAGGTTGTATTTCTTTTCTTTTTTCTTTTTTTTTTTTTTAAAGATTTATTTATTTATTTATACAAGCACTGGGTACAATCAGAAGCGCGGGAGGGCGAGAGAACTCACCAGAGCCAGAGCGGGGAACAGAACAGGCAGACTGACAAAGAAATACACTGCTGAGGGGAGCAGCAGGCGGCAGGAGAGGTCTGGTCTGCGTGCCATGTCCTGCTGGTAGGCGGGGATCGAACCGGTACTGCAGAGGATGCGGGGCAGCTTTGCAACCCAGCACTCAACCGCTGTGCCACCAGGGGAGGCCCAAAGGTGGTTGTATTTCAAAAGGAATGGTTGGGGAAAGAAGAAAGACCTCTTCCAGTTATAGGAAAAGTGTGAGTGGCGAGAGGCGAGAGCGCATGCTACATTTAGGGAATGGCAGGTAATAAAAGCAGTGAAATAGCAGCTTACACATCTAGTAAGCACTCTATCCTTAGTTGCTCTTTCTAAATGCATTTCATGATTAATTCACTTAATCCTTCTCACAGTCCCATGAGTTGCATACTCTCATCTCTATTTTACAGATGAAGACTCTGAGATACCAAGAGGTGATATCAGAGGCCTAAGGACTAATAATTAGGAAGTGAAGGAGCTGGGATTCATGTCCAGGTGTCTGGCTCCAGAGTCTGTATTCTTACCCTCTCTACCCTTGGACTGCCTGGTAGTTGAACATGTGGAGAACCAGAGTATATGGGAATGGTGGGGAGATAGGAGGAAAAATTAAAATGCATCAGCGTAAACCAGACTTTCATTTAAGAACCACTACTATACTTATGTGCCAGGCACTTTTCCAAGTGTTTTACAACTAATAACTCAGTGATAACAACAAAGAAGTAGGCGCTCTCTATTTCTCTCTCCATTTTACAGGTGAGAAACCTGAGGTCCTCAAAAGTTAGATAATTTCTCTGGGTTGCCCTGTAAGTGATAATAGCCTGGATTTGAGCCCTATTAGCCTGTGTTTAAAATCTCTGCTCTTAACATTTACCCTACCCTCCCAGGCCTAAAAAAAAGAGCTCTACTTGCAAAGGTACACGTGAGTATTCACTCACCATCAGTTATGGACTTGTAAATTTCCCTGTCATCCCAGTCCAGCATTTGTATCTGTAAAATGCGTTAACACTCAGTTTATGGCTTTGTTGCAGAGTTTATTCGTTAAGTGACATTTGAACCAGATGCACAGACCAGGAGTTGCATATACCTTTTCTTTTAAAAGTTTCATTGAACTGTGTTTCATATACCATACAGTTTACCCACTTAAAGTGAACAGTTCAATGGTATGCTTAGAGAGTTTCTAGTATTTTTACAGAGTTGTGCAAGTATCACAGTCATATACCTTTATAAAAATTTTCACCCCATGTTCATGGCTTAGGACTTAGGCAATACACTTAATCTCCTTCGCCCTATAACACTTCCTTTTCATGTTTCTCATCTGTGATAATACACTCTCGAGATGTTTGTTATTGAGGGTAAAATGTGATTGAATTTGTTAAAGATATTCTTCAAATTGAGCCTCTTCTCTCAGTGATGGAAAAAAACTACTGGGTATTTGGTGGTATCAGAATATCAACAAAGCAGACCAGTTTTTGTGCTAGGCATGAAGAAGAAAACATTTCCCTTTGTGCTGCCATGATCATGGAAAATTTTTGTGGATCCACTTATGTTTGAATTTTCTTAATTTGATGGCACTAGATGGATCTTGGGATTTCTATGACAAGATGATCCTCATCTTAGTAGCTT